AATACCTCTCCAAACAGCCCCACCAAATCCTCCGCCTCGATGACGCCGGCAAGCTCCACCAGCAGCTCGGTTTCCCCCGTGGCCGCAAAGTCCTCAAATCCATCCTCCGCCACCCACTCATCTTCCAGACCTACCGCCACACCGACAACAAGATGTGGCTAGGGTTTACAGACCTCATGGACCGGCTGCTAATCGAGGAACGGCAAATCGCCGACGAAATGGAGCCCCAAAGGGTCGCCGTCGTCCGTAAACTACTGATGATGTCCGCTAACAATAGAATCCCCCTCAGCAAAATCTACCACAACCGTGCCCTTTTCGGAATTCCAGAGGATTTCAGGGACCGGGTTGCAAATTACCCCGATTTCTTCCGAATCATCGTCGAGGAAGATGGCAAGCGCATTCTTGAATTAGTCGACTGGGACAGCTCGTTGGCCGTGAGTTCTTTAGAGAAGGAGTTCATGGCCGATGAGGATAAGGCGAAACGAGCTTTCCGGTTTCCCTTGAAACACGTCAAGTCATTGGAGCTCGATTTAGACGACGAGCGAAAATTGAACGTGCTAAACTCGTTGCCTTTGGTCTCGCCTTACTCGGACGGGAAAAAGCTCGATTATTGGACTTTGGAAGCCGAGAAGTATCGTTGTGGGGTCGTGCACGAGTTCTTGAGCTTGACATTGGAAAAAAGGGCTTACATTCACAACATTGTGGAGTTTAAGGATGAGTTGAGCCTCACGAGACGTACGTACGAAATGCTCTTGAAGCAACCGAGCACGTTTTACTTGGGTGGGACGAAGATGAATTGGTGTGTTTTCTTGAAAGATTGTTATAATGAGGATGGTGAGCTCGTCGGTAAGGATCCACAAGTGGAGTTCAACGAGAGGCTTTACGAGTATGCCGACATGGAAGAATTGGAGTCGGACGATTGAGAAATGAGATGGGATTTTTTTGGGATTTGATGGCTTTTGAATGAAAAACTAAACTTTTTTCGTTTTTTGCTTGGATATGTTGGTAGAAATTTGATGGCTTTTGAATGAAAAACTTTTTTTTTTTTATTTTTTTTTTATATTTTTGTGAGAAATTATTCTGTTATCTGTCATATGAGTCATATGAGTAGTGATTTAGAGATTGAGTTAACGAAAATATACATTAAATGATTTACACAAATTGAGTTTTGACAAGCATCCATTATTTCTCTATATAGTTCAAATGTTCAATACATCTTCAAAGTTTTATGTGCTGGGTTTGGAATAATTGTGGGATGAGTCGCTTCTTGAAAAGTTTCTTAGAAAGTAATTGTGGGATGCCAACCATATATATATCAGAAAGTATAAGTTTTTTCAATACAACACCCCCAAAAATGGGTTAACTAGAAAGTAACAATAAACCAGTAAGTCTGTACTAAAATTTATAATTGATGGATGGTGCATTTTATAATAATGATGGATTTTTGTTTCTCTTATATTGTATTGATATTGAAAAATAAAAAAATAAGATAGATGGGATAGTATAGGATGCGTTTAGTAAGCATTTAAGCTAGTTTATAAGCTTCCTATATTCAAATGAGTTTAGTTTGATAGGACAAATTTTGTTTAAAAGTTCGATTATCTCATAAGCTTTCTTGGTAGCTTTTCAAATAAGTCAGTTGAAATTTTTATTTCCACTAGATTATTAGCTAATTTCACCAAACGCTTTTATCATATAATTTCACTAAAAATTTTGGGAAATTTTCACACTTTTTACTACTAAAAAAATACCTTTTTTCAGCTCTAGATCTAACCTATCCAACTAATGCTTTCAATTTCATAATCGATACCTCGAAATTCATCAAAATTGATTTCAATTTTTTCACAATTTGAAATTCAGATGACCCATGTGACCCAAGTGAGTGAGAAATCGAATTTGTAAATTTGGTGTAAAACAGATTTATAATTTTTGTTCGGTCTTAATATTCATATTAAAGTTGGAGTTGGAAGGGTCTTCCCACAAAATGATTAATATAAAGATATAATAGAAGTTTATCTAAAGAATCAATAAGACATCTTCCAATGATAAGGGACAAACAATGATTTAACCCAAAAAAAAAAAATAAAAAAATTAACGTTAACTAGTACAGATTACAAATATACAAATTGGAAAAACAAACACAATACAGCGAAAAAAGTGTGTTGGATGGGTATAAATACATCTACTTTCTACTGTAACAACTACATGCTTTGCCATTTTCTTTTCAAGCAATGCTACATTTTACATAATATTTTGTACATAATTGTATACATAATCTCTGAGATATGTACACCTTTATGAACAAATTATTATATACAAACAGAGTTGCTGTTTCCGAAAAAACGTGTAAAATATAAATAATTCATCTAAAACACTCTTTCTCCAGTAGCATAAAGATTCCAAAAGATAGTTGTTGCAAAATAAAGACAAGCTGTAAGGGTTAAGAATGCCTGAAAGGAACCTAGCCACTGCACGAAAAACCCAGTCCCGATTGTACTTATTATTGCCGCTAGCGTTCCAATTGAATTAGAAATACCTGAAAAATGAAAAAAAAAAAAATCGGTAAAAACATGTCCGAGAGGCAACACTACAAAAAATTGTCATATCCCAACGAAAATCAAATGAAAAATCATACGGCAATATATTCCAACGGATGTTTCAATTGTATAGATTCTGTTGGAATAATTCCAATGGAAATTCCAACAAAAAAATTCCGTTGAAATGAATTTTCCATTAGAATTTTAGATGGAATTTGATAACTCCAACAGCTATTTTTTTAGGTAAGAATTTCCGTTGAAAAATGCAATTTTTGTTACATTTTTATTTCCATCCATATTTTTCAACCATTGGAATTGTCAAAATCCAATAAAAATTCCAATAGAAAACTCATTCAAACGTAGAATAATTTTTGTTCGAATTTCTGTTTGAATCCGTAATTATAGCATTGGAATATCATTGTAATTGCTGTTTAAATTCTATTGGAATATTTTCCCGTTGAAATTTCATCATTCAAGAAATAAAAATGAAGAACTTACCGTGAAGAAATCCTGCGTATTGTGGCGCAATATCCTGATGACACGACCCAAAACGATCAAAAGTTAGTTTAACTATTCATTTTTTTTCAGGTTTAATTGCAACTCATTCATAAGAACAAATTTATATACTCAAATGTGCAGAAACTTACGTGCATGTTAAGTAGAAATCCGGCTTGACTAAACGAGCTCAAGCTCAAGGCTAGAGTTAAAAATACAGATGCTACGGTTGGCTTGCTTACGTAATTCAAACAAAGCAAAGAAACTCCTGGCCCGATAAAACCTATCGACTGTCACGAACAGTTCAAATAAACATGTTACTTGTTAGTATAAACTTTTGCTTGTTTTTTCGGTTTTATATATCCAAACTTGATTCTAATTTTTTCAATCTGGACAGTAATTTGATAATTTTAATTCGTAAACTAGTACATTCATTTGTTTTTACCTGCATGATTTTCCTTGCTGATGTTATAGAAAAACCCGATTTAATCAAGTAGTCTGATGTGGACCCTGCAATGTAGCCCGAGATTGCCATTGTTCCCCAAGGGATAGCACTAAACCAAGCTGCTTGCTTCAAGTTCACATCGAACACCTAAAAACCAGTTCGAATTTATTAGCAAAAAATTATGATTCTAAACTAGACATAAGTGAAAAGAAAAAATGAAATGACGAGTGTGTTAAAAAAAAAAAGATACTCACGGTTTTAAAATAAACAGGCATCCATGATAGAAGAACAAAATAACCCTGCATTAAAAGTAATATAGTAAATTAACACACTGTTATACACAAAAAAAATGCATTTTTTGTCGTTTAACGCCATAGCAATTTTAGTCACAAAGTTCCAACTTTTCGCCTTTTGGTGATGTGATTTACTATTTTGTTGCAATTTCAGTCTTTTGAGGACTGAAATTGTAACAAAATTTTAAATTCAAGGACTGAAATTGCAACAAAAAATATTAAATTATAGACGAAAAGGCAAAATGTTAAAATCTTGAGACTAAAATTGATGTAGCGTTAAACCAACAAGACTAAAAATGCAATGTAGCCACTGTTAAACCAACATATTATTTGTAAAAGAAAGAAAGTAAATGAGAAAGAGAGAGAGATAACGGAAACCGACCCAGTTATTAGTGAAGTTAGCAAAGAATATAGCCCAAGTTGGCAATTTCGACAAAAGGTGTCCGAGTGGTGGAAACTTGCCCTTTTTTGCCATGTAAGAATTGGATTTGCCAGCTTGGATTAATCGTAACTCGGATTTAGATACAAAAGAGCTTTCGTGAGGGTCATTGGCGACCCTTTGTGTCCACGTAATCAGCCAAAGAAGTCCGAGAGATGTAAAGAGAATAAACGGACCGGAAATACCGATTGATGACATCATCAATGGAGTTAAAACCAAACCCACCAAGTTCCCGAGCTGAAAACCTCCCATGGATATCCCTACAGCTGTCGCTCTTTCATTGGTCGGAAACCATCTATACACGGAAAAAAGTAGTTAAGAATAGTAAGCACTATATAAAACAGCATCATCAGAAATTCAAAACAATGTTCTCTATATACGAAACAGGAAAGAGAGATTGGCATTTTTTTGGCAAAAATGCATTTTTTAGTTCTCAATTGGTATATCGTCATAACAATTTTAGTCCCAAGAATCCAACTTTTGGCCTTTTTGTACTGTGATTTAATATATGGTTTAATATTATGCTGCAATTTCGGACTGAAATTGCAACAAAATTTTAAATTATAGACTTAAATTGCTAATCGAAAATCTAGGAATTTGGGAATTTGTTGCAATTTCAGTAATGGACGGACTGAAATTGCAGCAAAATATTAAATCATATGACCAAAAAGCGAAATGTTGGAACCTTAGGATTAAAACTGATATTACGTTAAACCATCATCACGACTAAAAATGCAATTTTGCCTCAAGAATATTACAAAAATACTTTTTTTTCTTGAACTAAAACTCAATAATCACGTTTTTNTAATAGGTTGTTCATTGAAGGTAGGGCTACACCTTCGGCAAATCCAAAGAAAGCTCGGACGGCAAAGAGGCTTGCTGCCGAGTGATTTGCCGCGAGTGGAGTGAAAAGGGTTGCTAGGGACCACAAAGTCGCACCCCAAGCAATGACCCGTTTCCCTCCGTATTTATCCACCAAAGCTCCTCCAATAACTGAGGAACACATGTATCCCCATAGAAAGGATGACTATGCAAATAGTAAAACAATCAATCAGCAAAAGTACGTGTTTAACAACCTTTATTGTCACACAAAGAATTTAGGCATCTACACGGGTTTCAATACCTCCGAATTCAAAAATATTAAAATATATCATATCTTAATTAATAGCATTTGGAAACATTTTCTTGTTGATAACTTGTTTCATCTCTAGTTAAGAGGAAAATGAATCCTTAGCTACGGATTAAGTGTGACAAAAGATTTTGTGATAAAGATTTTAACTTTAACACACACCAAAACTTTTTGCAGATACAAAAAGGTCACATTCATTCACTTAAAGAACAAAAGTGCAAGATTTGAGTGCATTGTGATCAAAGAACACTAGTAACTTTAGGTGTCTTGTACTTGAAAGTCTTTCAAGAACCAATCAATATCATGAAATCCAGACGAGGGTTTAAGCACTAATTTGCCACTCTTAACTCGGACAAAAGTTCAAATTATTATTTCATATATCGATTTTCTCTGATAGCTTTCCGGATAAAGTAGCTTCGAAACAGGGGTGGTGACTTATTTTGTAAAAAGAAATTGATGCAACTCATTTACACTCTTAATAAACAAATTTCAATGTCTTCAAATTACAGTTATCTGTAATAACACTTTAAGTAATAACAAAGAAACATGTTTAATGATCGGTTAATCTTGCTTATAGAATGGATTAGAGCATAATAACATCCACACAACTCTCAAAACAAAGGGCTAGCTAGCTAAGGAAAACCGGTAAGTCTATGCTGGTGTTAGGTTGATATTAAAGGCACGTTTTTATTCGATATGCGAGATAAAGAACATGTCCACAATAATAAATAAATAAAATTGCTAGTGCTCGCATTTAAGAGAAAAAGAGTCATTAGCAATCAATGAAATGAGGGCCACCAAACCTCTTTTTCTTGCCACTCAGTTAGGCTTAGGCCCCAAAAAATTAAAACTTATCGGTCTCTTGAAGGGTCCTACTAAAAACACATTCTGCCATCTATTAGATTTCCTTTTTATGATCCTAAAAAATTACAAGAAAAAACAGCCCAACAAGAAGCAATTTAAAAATGTTTCTGTGATTGGATACAGAAGATACTCCATTATTGTTTGTCGGTCGACTCAAGATTTATCTCATTGAAACTGAAAATGAAACAAAAAAATATTCACAAAAAAGTACAATTCATTTTATCTCACTTTTTTTCTCTATAATAAAAAATTACAATTTATTATATATTTTCCAATAAAAAATATTATTCATCCACCCACACATATTTCTAAATACCAATATTATCAATAAGTATTTTATTATTTTTATATCATACATTACATTTTGATTTTTAGACAAGTTTTTATTATTTTATTCTCCATCTCACCTTATGAAAATTTTCAGAAAAATCTCATATCCAATTGAGACCTAAGGTCAGAAACTTTGCAAAGACTCAAAGTTTGTGAATTTTCAATTTAGGTAAGTTTCTTTTGTCATTGAAAAGCGGCGGCTACCATATATGCAAACTAAACTACCACCAAAATCACATCTCAACTACCACAAAATCTGCATTTCCCATTAGAAAACACAACAAATCACCAACACCACACCGCTTATAAGTCCCAACCAAAAAATCACAATAACATCAAATTAACAACAAATTAAACTCAATTAACATCCAACAAGCAACAAATTAATCCAAAAGATTGCACTTTTATTTAATTACCTTTTGCTTTCTTCAAAAAGATCACAATAACATCAAAATTCACAACAAATTGAACCCAATTAACATCCAACAAGCAGCAAAATTATTGAACCCAATTAGCATCCAACAAACAACAAAATTTATCCAAAAGATTGCATTTTTATTTAATCCCTTTTGCTTTCTTACCTGGACAATGCCCAAGAACGAGCTCGACCACCCGTATTTGGCGGCGAGGGGGACGACGGCGACCGACATGACGACCCGATCCGCATTGCAAAGGCACATGACCGCCGCCACCAGCGCCGCCACTCTGAACCGCTCCGCCGGAAAGAACCCGCCTTCCCGCCGCCCCGCGAACAGGCCCCTCTCCAGCCCCTCCGCCGCGCACCTCGCCTGAAAACCGCCCGACCCACGACGCCGCATTTCGCCGGCGGGCCCGCCGCCCTGCCTCTGCCAGGCTGCATGCAGATCTCGCGGTCGAATTTCTCCGCCGGCCGCGAGAAAAAGGCTCGGGCTTTTCGAATCGGGTCGCGACCCGTAAAATGGGGTCGATGACCTGAAACTAGCTCGGCCCAGATGGGAAAAGGGCCGGCGAGAGGGCCGTGAACTGTGGCAGCAACGTGGCATTAGCTCAAATGGCGCGGCGCAGGCCATTGTAGAGAGAGAAAGAGTGAGGCACTTTATTTTTCGGGTTATGTAGATCAAGTTCAATACTTTAATATAGTGCAATTTATTAGGTTTTTTTTTACTACCACTTGCTTTATTTATTTTATATTTTATGTGTTGTAGGTGTGGTCAAATTAGTTATTGTGCTTTCCCACTTTAATTTTGTTTGGTTAGAGATATGATAATAAATTTCAAATTTAATTACAAAATTTATAGTGTATTATTTTTAGTATTGCGTCATATTCATCGCGTCTATATATTTTTATTATTTTCGCGTAGAGTTCATGTCGTGTATGTTTATAATCATCAATATTCATCGCGTCTATATATTTTTGTTATTTTCGCGTAGAGTTCATGTCATGTATGTCTATAATCATAATTATATTTTTCAATTGTGTAGTATTGTGTTTGTATTATATTGTACTACACATTTCAAGCTTAATCAATCATTAATATAGTAGTTATAAGTGGACCAAAAGAAAAAATAAATGCTATCTTAACCTAGTAGTTAACCAATTAGACATTAAAATATAATATTTTATCATTAAAGTATATATTTGTTAAAAAATAAATGTATGTAACATGACATATATTTATTAGAAACTTGTATGGATATAATGATATATAGTTATAGATATAAGTTGTGCCTATTAAATACTAATATTTTTACTTTAGTTTACTTTGACCATATATATGTGCAAGTAACAATAATTTTAAATTTTAGGTGTGAATTTTAATGTTGTGCAATGGTTTTGAGCCATGTTTTAAATACCGTACCGTACCGGCCGGTAATACCGGTAATACCGGATACCGGCCATTGGTACGGTATAATTTCACTCAAAATACCGGATTTACGGTTATACCGGTTTGTACCGGGATCATACCGCAAAAACCGCAAAATACCGGTCCAAAATACCGGCCAATAAAAAAAAAATTTAAAAAAATAAAATTTAAATTGGTAGTTAAAATGTTTAATTTTTATCTCATTTAGAAGTTGTAATTAATGATTATGGTCATTTATTTTTTATTTTTTCACATTTGATATTATAAATTTTTATGTATATTTATATATATCATTAAATTTTCTAATCCGGTAATACCACCGATATTACCGGTCCTACCGGTAATACCGCGTACCGGTGGCTTGACCGGTATGACCACCGGTACGGTATTTAAAACACTGGTTTTGAGATTGGTGCTGAGTACATTACATGGGAGTTTAAAATTGACTTGAAAATGTCAACTTCCTGCGAATAATTTGAAAATAGTGCTAAGTAAATAACAAGTTTAATATTAGTTCTCAGATTCAATGTTGAATAATTAATAGTTCTGAAATTGTTGCGCATGTAATTAAATGCTTGCTTGTTTGTTGGTCGCTTATTCTAGTTATTATGGTTGAAAAAAAATTATTTGATCATTGCTAGTTTTAATGTAAATGAATTGAACTTCCCTACAAAATTTTCTAACCCTTAATTGATAACACAAATTATCGAGACAACTTAATTGTTAGGTGGATCGACACGTTATAATTTATTTCACAAAAATAAGTAACATAACTTTTAGTTTGAGGCGGTCTAATCATTATGTGGGTCATGAAATTTTATACTTTTGCATATATTACTTTTTAGAATATAATTTTTTATTTGGAAAGTATATAAATTTGTTGAAAGCCTATGATTTTTTTTTAACCAAACAAAAAAAAATGGCAAACCAATAAATGATTTTTTATGTGCAATAAGTTTAAATGATGTGTGAAAATAACATATGCTTATATACACATATAAAAATGCACACAATTAATTTGCAACACATATGCTTATATACACATATAAAAATGCACACAATTAATATATATTACAAAATGAAATTATTTATATGTCTTTTTGTCCGAAATTGGAAGTGAACCAATAGATCTTTTCTTAATAATATTGAAGAAAATGGTGCAAGAAGCTATNAAAAACATATCAAATCGAAAGAAAACTGAAGAATCAAACTTTTTAATGAAATAGTTGAATCATAGTTTAACACATAAAAAAATTAAACTGAAACTGTCTCGACTAGAAATAATCGAATAAAATTGCATTGAAATGAATTATTCGACTTGATTTTCTTTCAGTTATACTATGCATTGTATTTAATTTCTCTCATTTCATATAAAATCGTACTTGATTGAGAAAATAAAAAAAACATATATATACATATAATAATAATATTAATAACAATCGAACCATACTGCATTGCACTAAAATCGATCGGAAGCGAAGCCCAATAAAAAGAATCTACACTAAAACAATTGAATTAAGTCGCATGTAATTGCACTATTTGGCTCAATTTTTTGTCTACATTTGGTTCATTTATATATTTTTAGATACACAATTAAAAAAACAAGAAAACAAAAGGAAGGTTGGTAGGGAACAATGAGAAAGCAACGGGGTAGTTGGTGTGAGCGTGTGAACTTCGAAAATAAATCCATATATTCAACAGATGGGGGTTGTTAGGATGATGTATTCTTTAAAAAATAAATACCCATATTTCATAATGAAAATGTTATATTTAAATAATTACAATAATCAAACACATTTAATTGTTTTAGGCAGACTCATAAATCATAATTAGCTTCATGAATATCATCATCTTTCAAAGTGTGCCAGGTAGTTGATTTATCTAGTAGATGATAAATATTTGTTTGTTTTAGTGAAGAAAGTGATTCTTGCCTTTGAAGTTAAAAAGTGGAAAATTTTACATTTTTAAATATTTTCACATATCAACTTCTGATTATGCTTTCAAGTGTCCTCCAACATAATTAGTACTAATAGAAAGTATAGAAGGGCCTTTGATTTGTCATTTTATTTTTGGGTTGACTTTTTACATGCATAAATGGTCTTACTTTATCTATCTAATCATTTGATTTAACTTGATATTTTTTTTCCAAATTCTTATTTTGTCAATATATTACACATGTACCTATTGGGTTCTCAATCACAGACTAGTTACTGGGCCTAGCTTTATTGTGTATACATTGGTGCCATACACAAATCATAAATATATTGGCCCTAAAGTTCGTTAAGTTTCCAGTTACGAGTGAGTAAACCCATTCTTTAAAGGCAATATTTAGCCAGTTGGGCCTATTTACAGAATTGAGCTTCAAGGCCCACAAGTGAATATTGGGTTTCTTACACAGATTTATCGCGTCCTTATCATATCTACTAGTACGTAGCCTGTGCGATGCACGGGACATAAGTATTAAATGAGTCATTTCCACAGAGTTTGTCCGTTAAGTAGCTCGTGCGATTCACGGGAGATATTGAATGAGTGGACCATAGGGCTTGTCCGTTTAGGCCTAAAAAATAATAGAGTCTGATCATTTATCTTTTTACATCTTTTCATCAATGTCATTTTTTTTTTGTCGAAACATTAAACCTGAGTCTGGTAGCGCAAGCCCGTAAATTAATTAATATATTATCTCGCTCACATGTTTATAATAATATAAATTTGATTTCATTATATATATATATATTCCTTTATATAAGAAAAATAACAATTTTACATAATCTTGTTCCTCGTATAATACTTATATTACATTATTATAAAATTTATTGTAATATAATTTTATTAATATTATTTATGCAAGTTATATATGTAGTCTTCTTCTTCTTTTTGTTTTATATAATTAAAATATTTAATGTATGTTCATATTATTTATAAATGTAATTAATTTAAATTATGTAAATAAATTTAAAGTAAAACATTTTGTACAAACATTTTACAAAATATACACAAATATTTTTTTAGATTTTCTTTTTTTTCATAATAAATAAACATCTTTGAAATTCTATGCAATTAGTAATTCTGTCCGATGTTATGAGAAACAAATCATTCGGAAATGATTATATGTAAGTTGAGATAAAATGAAATGTATCAAAAAAATCTGCTTATGATACTTTCCTTTAAATGTTTGAATGAATTTGAAATTTAAATTACAAATCAATCTCCAGTTATTCAAATAAATTTAAAAAAGTTACCAATTGTAGTAAAATGTATGTGACAATATATTATAAATATACATGACGTCAGTAATGTTATAAATCTTTAATTTCCTAAACTATATATTATTTAAATATGAAACTAATTAACTTATATATTAAGAAGCTATATATAAAAATATGTATTGTACGAAATATATGCGTGACAAGTTATTATATTTGTTTATATATATTTTGTATTGTTATTATATTTGTATATAAATATATTATTTATATATTTTTCTGTATTGTACGACAAATTATTATATTTTTTTTATATATTGTTTAAATATATATTGTTTAGATATGAAACTAATTAACCTATATGTTGAGATAATATATATAAATATATGTATTGTATGAAATCTTCAACGTGTTTGTTAAATTTTTTCCCTAAAAAATTCAAAATACATTTAGGCATGTTTTGTTTGAAGTTTGAAATTTAAATATGCATCTATATAACAAATCCCATGATTTATGCTAGCATTAAATGCTACTTGATTTTTTATTAAAAAAATTAAAAAAACATACCAAAAATGGAATGCAATTAATGTTCCCTATTTTTCTGCTTACTATTTTTGAAAAATATTAATTCTTATTATATATATATAGATATCTATATCTATATTCTATATAAATAAAATAACTATTTATTAGAAATAGTAGCAAAAAAATCTAAAAATATTTAACGCGGACCTTATTTAGAAGCTTTTTAAATATATGCATTACTTGCATATACACATCTATAAGCAAATATGATCAAATAATTTTATTGATATCAATTATAATAAACTACAATTTAATTTTACTTGATACATGTTACTAATATTTTGATCAACATAAACATGGAATCAAATATTAAGTCTTAACCATATTATTTTTTTTTTTTCACAAATGTTGACTTTCATCATAAAAAATTTATAACAATCGTAACATTTTAGGTAATTTTCTCCTTCCACCTAATTAGGCGAAATCAAGTTGGTAAATTAGTATCTGCCGACAATATTTTTTTACCTGTATTTATTTATAACAAAAT